CTGTCGAGATGAGGGTTAAAGTTTATCTAGCTCTCATGGGAACGATCAATGATGGTATACTTCATGCCGACATAGCAACGGCAGGCGATTTATTTTCTCATCAACAATATAAACTTGACGTTGATGTAAAAAAGAAATAAAACAAATTGACATTTTAATCAAATAAAAAAAAAAACTGGAGAATATTTGCCTAATTCATTGCTTGTTTCTTATTTCTTAATCTATAGATTTTACTTTTTGTTGTCGCGTTTATGTATAATAATTATAAAATGTAAATGATGTATTTAAATATTTGTATTTTGTTGGTATAGATCTGCTAGTTAGTTAACCACTATTTATTTTATTCATTGCATTGATGTACCCCGAACCCGTAAGACAAAAAACAATTAATTTTTCTTTTGCATAATTTTAAAACCACGTTACACATGGTGATAAATGTGATTTGATTTATTGAATACTTCAAGAACTTTAAGAAATAAAACAATCCATGCCACAATGGAGGAATTGTATCAAGAACGTCTGTAATGAAACATGCTCAAGAACATATATGATTAAGAAGATATCTGATTATTATGATTAATAATATTCTTTTATTGGTATCTTCATACCCAAATATTAACAGGGACATTAGTCTTTCAAAGATTTGTTAATTTTAAGTGACACTTCATCTTGTGTTTTCAAATAATATTTAGATATCCAATGCTTATTTCTATATATCGTCACACACAATTCTTCTGTGTTGCACAAACTGCCAAAGAAATTCAAACACTTTTGTTTCAATATTAGTGGAAGGAAAGGGATATTGTAAAGTTTTGCACTGGAAGATGATACACAAAATATTTCTATACCTTAAGTTCCATGCCTTCAAAAAAAGTTAAAATATCGTTAGTTGAATACGGCATAGATATGAAACAAACATTATGCCTATCAAACAATTTTCCTCTGATGAGCGTATTTATGATTTGATCACATTTTTTCAGTAAGCGCTGCGTTGTCAATGTAAACATCACAGTTTGAAAATTAAACAATTTTGTCAATTCGAAAGTCAGCCAGTCTATTTTCTCCCAAAATACTTCCAAACTGCTTTATCTAAAATCCCCGTAAATTTACATCTAAAATCTGTGTTCACCATGCGGATGACGCTATGAAATCCCTGACTGCAGACAGCCAAAATACAGTCTGTGCCACCAAAACATCAACCTTCTATATGTTACATGCGGGAACCCCCACGGAGTGGGGAGGGGCAGGAATACGACCCCTGGCGAAGACAACCCGTGGGGGTCGGGGTAATGGAGCAGGAGGCCGAGAATACATATATCAGCGATTAGTCAACAGGCTCTCCTATATCACAGTATACTGTCACATTTCAAATCTCATTCCAAAAATCTAATTTGTAGGCACGATATTGATAGCTTTTTGAGAAAACTTTTTTATGAGGGTCGTTTTGGAAAATTGAGACTTTCTGTGGTTCACTGCACGTGAGGGCCTGTGTTTATCGTCGTGGTGGGGGAGTGCGGGTGGTGGAAAGGAAGGGGGACTTTTGCAAGGGGGGAAAGGGGCAGGGGGGAGTTAAATGTTAATTAGTGTTTTAGCTTCATCTCTGACCTTTCTCGTGAATTTTACGTGTAGTTGCTATGTTACGTATGCACTGTCAACGCCCGAGGTAATGAAAAATATACCTTGTTCCAGTCAGCTGAAAGTATTTTGCATGAATAATTACAAAAAAATGTTTTGACGTGTATTGTATTAATGCTACTTCATTTAAATTTCTTATCTTTTATTTTAATCTTTTATCAGATAGTGGGTAGAAAAGACAAGCATGTTCATGGCTGTATTGTAATGTACGTTATGATATCAATATACCCTGTGTATGTTTATCGTTAAATACATTATAATATCAATATACCCTGCATATATTTATCGTTAAATACATTATAATATCAATATAATCTGTAAATATTTATCGTTAAATACATTATAATATCAGTATACCCTGTATATATTTATCGTTAAATACATTATAATATCAATATACCCTGTATATATTTATCGTTAAATACATTGAAATATTAATATACTCTGTATATATTTATCGTTGAAGTAATATAGTTTGAAATACGGTTTTAATCTATTGTTTTGTTCATAAATTGTGTAGGAAATGTTTTATACTACTATGTTTTAATGTTAAGAGACAACATGTTGGAGGTAGTGAGCACTCTAATGTGTTTAGTACCTTATTCTTGTGATAAATGTGAAACCCGATTCAATTTAGCAATTTTAGTAGCACGTGCGGTACGGGTTACCCATTTCAGATGTGACTCCTTGCTGTCCGGCCTAGTGGGTAGCATTGTAAATATCATTACGTTAATTGACCAATGACCAGTGTATGCCTAACAGATCATGTAAATATTATAAGATCAAAGAGTTGTCCAAAGTCTGAGCTGTGTTTGCTGACCACACAGATCTGTCGCTATATGTGGCCAAATACTCCCCATTTAGTGACCAAGGCTGCCCAGCGGTCATCGGGAGGGATGTGGATGGTTGTCTCGATAATCAGTTTAATTACCAACATGTACGATTGGTTTATCTATTGTGAAACCATTTCACGGACGCTTACATTACCAGTAAGACATTTGAATCCTACAGGAGGTACACATGGTTCTTCTTAATAAATTCAACAGGGATGAGATTAAGAACTGTAAGATAAATGAGGGGAGAAGAAGGAAGAGCAGTTAACTGTCTTTGTTATTCAGAACATACTATTAAGTGAAGAAGAACCAATACCACCACAGAGTTGAACTTGGAGGTGTAGTAGTTTCCATTGATAACTTCAAAAAGGTGAAATACGGTTTTAATATATTGTTTTGTTCATAAATTTTGTAGGAAATGTTTTATACTCCTATGTTTTAATGTTATGAGGCAACATGTTGGAGATAGTGAGCACTCTAATGTTCCTTAGTCTTAGCAGTAACAGTATTTTAGATGTAAAAAATATACATTGTCTCTTTGCCTGATCAAAGCAGTAAGATTTAAGTTATTAACATTGATTTTTTTTCGATTTACATTATCGTTTAAAGAAATTCAGCAAAACACACAGTGAGACTAATGATTGCTCACTCATTAGATGGGTTCATAGCTAACCCCTGATATAAATGGTACCAAAGAAACATTTAACCAAAGTTAAGTGTCATAATATTTAAATGTTCGAGAGTCAACTCCCTGTAGGAGTTATTGTTCATGTTAAAACATTATTATATTGAAAAAGAAAAGAGATAATACAAAATTATTTAATGAGTGGAACAAAATCTTTGGTAATGTAGCGTTTATAAAGTTTAAGTGCGCAAGAAACATCCTATCTCTACAAATGAGAATGATTTGTTTCAAATACTCCCGTACTTTTAAACATAAGTTCCATGCACGGTGGCAGTTCCAATTTCTCAAGCAAGGAGTAGCAATGGACAAAAACAGTTCTCGGTGGCCTTCTGGTGTATCGAATGATTTAAGTTAATGTTCCTACCATATTTAGTGAAAATTGAAGAGAGTTTGGTTCGCGGCCCGTCAGCACGTTGTCTCAGTACGTGTTAAAGTCTACATACATGGATTATGAATTATATGTACAAAGGTCGATATTCAAAATAAATTTTACAAGACCCCCTAGTGTAACGCTTTCCTCGTCCCAACCTCCGTAATGGCTTTAGCACTATGGTAATAACACATTAAGTCGAACTGCCACTTGTTGAAAATTTTATTACAAAATGTTTATCGTTAAAACTGTAATATTAGATGGCAGTTTTTTATTCATGGTGGCACACCAACCTCGTAGGATTATCACTGGAGATATCTTAAATTCAGATTATGGTGCATAAGTTTTTTAACATCAAATTTGTCAAAAAGGAGAAAACATGGATGCGTTTTTTCACTTTAAAATTGAAGGGGTGTTTAATGCACATTTGTAAATCCGTTGTAGGCTATTAAAGACAGAGTCCTCATTTCCCGGCCTTATCTGATTTGGGGTTGAAGTTACAAGAAGTAGCAACATATGGTTGTCATTTTCAGTTCATGGCTACCTCGCCATACCAAACCCAAGCCGTTTGGTTTTGATGCCGGGGTGCGGAAAGGGGCTGTTTTTAGACCGTTATTGTTTCAGTATCTAGTAAACATGAAGATTTATTTCATTGGTTCCTGGGAAAATTTTTGGAATGATTTAGACTCGATTTTGTTTTGTTGTGCGTTACGTAATTCAAAACACTGCATCACGAACATAGTGTTGTTATAGGAAAGTTACAATAACAACGGACGCAAATTTTATGCCAACGTTCTGGAGTACCCCTCATGCTTTTTAAGAATGGCTGTGTGCATTTGTATATTGCATTCATAATTTTCAAGTTTACATAAGATATTATTTCAGTGTTTGCGTATATTTATTCATGTTATAGTAATCATGATTCACCAGACTGAAATATGAACATTGTCCCACATAATATCATTGTTGTCCCTGAACGTAACGCTGTATTATTGAATACTATTGTACTATTTATTACCTTAATTACGTTCACATGTATATGCATCTTTAACTGGATATGGACTGATATTGACCATAGTCTGTAATCATTACATTTTTTCTATGTACATTATTGATATAAACATTAAATTGCGTGTACAAATCAACCGCTAATTGAGGATTGCATTGAATATTGCCACAGATGCCCTATGTCCCCACAGTTTGTATGCATTTGAAATCCTGTTAGAATGCATTTGTGGCAATAAAATGAAAACTCCACCTACCCATTTTGAATGTCGGATGAGGATAGGAATAGGAATGGACACAGGCTATTATATGTACGTGGTTAAGACTAGAAAGTGTTTTAAGCATAAATATGTCCGTGAGGATAGCCAACACATCTATCACAAGACAGACTAAAAGAAAACAGACCTGATCAGTGTTCATGATAGCGGCATAAGAATGATAACAACCTGTCCATAAAGAGTATGCAACTTACCTTTCGAGATGAGGTTCTTGGTAGCATGCGTTTCTGATCCGAAACTGCTCGGCTGATTGAGAGCTCGAGTAAAGTGTTCGTCAACAACCGTTGAAGTATCTCCAGTAAAGTAAGTTAATAATACACAGTTTGCGTTCAAATAATGAGTTTCTTTGGGCTGTAGGTCCTTCTCTAGGTCTTCCTCCTTGACAGCCGATGATGTGGATGCAGAAGCAGTGTAGCTCCCAAGATCCAGGGGCTCATGCATTCTGGGAACGCTAAATGCCTGAAGAATAACAAAAATGTTGCAATGTACTCGATAATTTAATACTCCAATGACAGGTAACAGTTAGACGGTCTGGGGCCTGGCTTTTCTTTGAATTACTCTAAGACATAGCCCAATACTGCCTGGATTGTAAGACATGGCAACCGTGTTAGATATGTGAGTTCATACTAGACAAAGGTATGCCATGGCTTAGCCTGAAATGAAGACTTGGTTACAACTGAAATGCAGGAGGCATAGGATCAAAGAGGCTTCAACATGACAAAAAAAAAGAACGCAAAAATTACAGGTGACAATTTTGAGGCATATTTTACCTGTACGGCCTCCGAAGAGGTCCGTTGATAGGGGAATCCCGTTGAATATGGCTGGTACATAATGTCAACACAACTCATTCTTGAGAAACGACATGTAACGAGTACGCGGAGCTTTAACGTAAGAATCTAACGTTCACTTCCTCTCATACCAAGTATTTTGACTATTGAATATATTTCGCATATGTATAGGCGGTCTTAGCATGGGCTGAAACACCCTCAGTCACGCGTAGCTGTCAATCACGCATCGCAGTGGGAACCACGTGGTTATCAAATGAGTCCGCGATGTTGATTGGCTCAAGCGTCTGTTGACATTCGGGCTCCTCGCTACGTCACGTGACTCGTCTTGGTTCCTCGCTGTAGGGTATTAATTTTAATTATGGGCTCGTATGTTGGACAAATTGGGACTATTATGGGGCACATGTTTTGACATTTGTAGTGACAGCTACCGATCTGAAGTCAGACGCGTATATTTACTCAAGGCTTCCTTCGCTACAAGAACATCAGACAAACGCCCACGGCATATAAACTAGGAATAAACTTGATCAAGTACATGAAATAAACACGAAGCTATTATATCTGTATTACTAAAGATTGAAACGTCTTGGAACTTTCAACCATTTAATCGCTCCTTCAACGGAATTATCTCCCTTGCGCCATCTTTATGCCCATTGTTAACTAAACTGGGTCGCTTATTTAAAAAGGTACTTTGCAAACGAAAGTGCCAGGTTAGGTGTGGACCTGATTAAATAGAATAAATAAGTCACACCATAAAAAAAATCAGGCTCCAAAACACGCATGTAGCTGTTCTCTTGGTTGTAATTCTCTGGCGTAACTGACTGCAACAATGAATTGTATTGTTGATGACTGGACATTCTCCTTCCTTTATAACCTCCAAGCACAAGGCACCACCCTGTACTATATCATACAATCTTGTGGTTACAGGAGAAGCTTGTTGTTCAAGGTACCGTTAATGAGGAAACTTACCATACAGGACGATTGGCTGCAGGACACGTTGAGATATGTACGAAATGAAATTAATCTGGTGTGACTGTGAGTGTGAGAGTGTGTGTGTGTGTGTGTGTGAGAGAGAGAGAGAGAGAGAGAGAGAACACCACACACACACACACACACACACACACACACACACACGCATTACAACATCTACATTAATATTAGACATCTTTCATTCGTACAGGTCATTTCTGTTCACTGTATCACACACTATCCATTGAACTATGACTTAACTTCAATTGAGACAACGACAAGGCTTACATTAAATTCTTCGTAAGGTACAAGAATCAGGTTCAAGATATAGACCCTGTATTTAACATGCAAAACCACTCAGTAGTTTCAAGTGACACATCTGGAGCCTCTGATTTACAAAGCAGTAGGTATTATTTCATCCCGTGTGTGTCAAGCTTCTCAGATAGTTTCACGGAAAAAGGTTGTAATTCTGCCAACAAGAAGCAATAAACTGTGACGCAAATTTCGTAAATATAATATATGGAGAGCATAGTATTTTGTTCTGGCTATACACTAATTCAACATTTAATTCCCAAATTCCAGAATTGTCTGCTTGAAAGATTCCCTCAAACATACTCATGTTTTATGAAGAAACCGAATGTTACGATTGAAAAAGACGTCATTGCCGAGGGTTACTTGAGTGCAATATGTTTGTCTATTCTTGATACGCTGCAGTAGCTTCAATATGGCGAACAATAGCACACACAGACTAGCGTTATGTGCCTGTAATGAATCATGTACACGTTTGCAAGAGAACACACGTGTAGTAAAGGAACCATCAAGTCGCTTTTTCAAGAGCTTGAGCTGAGAATGTAGGGGTGGGTCTGTTTTATCAAATAGATGCAGTGGGGGTTATAAGAAAGACTACTGTACCCTTGTTTCATATTATTGCATTGGGTGACTAATAACGATGTTAATGTAAGTGAACTCCTTTTGTGATCGGCTACAAATCAATGGATTCGTGCTGATGATATTCCTCTTGGTAATGAGCCATCAAGTCAATTGGTGTGTTGAGTATACTATTTACGAGTGCTTCGAGACATTACAAACAGACACACGGGATCTCAGGTTAATGTTCAATGCATTCTGTTCAATTCTAGAAATCGCGCACACACACGTGCATGCACGTCCAACACACCAAAGTTCCAGATCTATCTCTGAAAAAACGTTCGTGTGCGTGTTCGTGCATGTAAGTGTATAAATGCGTGCGTTTGTACGTGTGAGATTGTTTGTACGTGCAGTTTTGCGATTGTCATTGCTAAAGAACACAATGGAATGCAATACAATTATTATAGCATGTAAAAGTAATGACTGACTTTCGACTCTTATGATTACTTCTATGTAATGAAATTTATCATAACAAAGGATGGTTTTGTTAATGGAGAATGTTCAGATGAATGTAAAGATATCTATTATCCAAAAAACGAAACACAACCTAATTATACTTTTCAGTGAAATAAGGTAGTCTTTCTGTTTCATTTAAGAATGGAATATATCCTACATCCAGTTGTATCAATCACTCACACTTGCAAGACACATGTGAATATGAATTTAGTTATATAGTATTTATCCTCCACTGCTACAATTGCGTGAATATTTGGCTGTTCTACTTTTATATTTCACTATGTTTCTGTCATGTGTAAATGTATTAATGTTTGTGAGATATATATCTCTTCGATCATTGGAGTTAATCACATTGTACTCTTGTATTATGAAAAGTCAAGGGCCAATACAACAACCTTGTTTTACTCCAATAACAGGATTTTCCCATCTGTGTGAAAACATTGGCACACTTCCTTGTATATAAAGACTCGACATTGCGCAGCTAGGTGTGAAGTGTACACGATATAATCACCTTGCTAATCAAGCAATCAAAGCAATACAAAGGGTCATGTGTCAATCTTTAAGGAGAAAATATTGGAAACCGCACCAGGAGAACAGCAGAAACTGATGCTAAAACTTGGCATTGGGCAATAATCCGCGGTTAGAAAAGGCGAGAACTGGATTTTAGAATTACCTAAAAGTTATATCCAAATGTATCCTTCTTGTGGGATCAGGGGATCCACTAGTTACACGGATATAATACAGTTTACATATTTACAAAGCGTGTTTCACATAGTATGACCACTCATCAGGCCCGGTTCGAACCCCAGCTAAAGTCCTTTGATATTCGCTGCAAGCTATTTGCTTGACAAGCGAAAGTCATCATCAAATATTGGCTCGAATGTTTTCAGGCAACCATCGGCACCTTTTAAGTCTTGAAGAGGACACAAACATTAAACTTTTGAGTGTTGTTAGATCAATGCAGCGTATTGGGTACGAGAAGTTCTCACTCAGGTGTATTTGGTCAGATGGACCTTGGACCGCGTGCTCTAACGACGCAACTTCCGGATTTCACGTGCAAGGACTCTTTTCACCTCCTTTTCCAAAGAGTGCCGAAAGAACAACGGCCTATTCTCAAGATAACTCCCAGTCAACTCAAGCTGTAGTAATTCACCGATGAAGAGAGCAATACGTTGTAAATACGTTCTCTACGCTTCAGTGTCTTTGTTTACATTCATATTTTCAACCGACAGACAACATTCGTAAATTGCAAAGCCAAACATTGCCGTTTTACGCTAAATTTTACGCATTCATCTCGCATCGATATTACGCAAACACTGTCTCGGGAGGATGGGATTAGCTTAGGAGCACAATAATTGTTTCCCTCAAGGTCTGAGGAACTCAAACACAAATTCTCAGTGCGTTTTCCGCTTTTTTAAACTTTCACCTTGAGTGGCAACGCACTTGAGGACTTAATACCTATGTCGAAGGAAATTACGCACTGTCATGGCCCAACTGCTGTGATTGATAGTATATATTTTTATGTCTATATTTTAGATATGTTTATGAGGAAACAAGCGATATGCAATGTTGTAAACAGTGCTGATATTAAGCGAAGATGACAGTGTGGGATATGTTGTAGTACGCATATATATGATTGTTATTTCTACATAACTAAGGACCGAAGAAATGGCAGTTGGTTCATATGTTAAAGTAAACATAAGATGTGACCAAGCATTTCATAACAGGGTAAGTATTGGTTCACAGTTAAACTTCCATGCCTGATGCAGTTCAATATTTTGACATTTGAAATACAATATGTTCCCCTGTCTTTTCAAGCGAATATGTACCTGCTAGTGACACATGCTACCTATTCGGCAGCTATTTGTTATTTAAAAGATAAGAAATGATAGATGATTCTGTGGTAATGTCCAGAATAGAATTATCTTGAAATGGAAGTGACAAAAGAACCATGCAAAATAATGAATCAAATTTTATCAACTGATTTAACAAGTTCACCTAAATAACCTTCATTACATACTTTTAATTTACACCTACGATAATAAAATATTTCAATAACCATGCGAAATGAAAACGTGACTAAAAACAGCGTCTCATTATTTCATTTCTCTTATGAGAATATTAATATAGACGCTGGTGATGAATGATACAGTAAAAAAGCGTTGGTATTACTATGAAATCATTGTGTAGCAATGAATGTTGCGATGGCATCTTTTGAAATTTTGCACTACAGAACCTTGTAATATTACGCTTGTGGAGTATCAATGCATGACAATGTTCTGGAAATATCACCTGTCATGCATGATGCTTTTTGTGAATAACACCTTTCCTTTACAAGATTTTACGCAAAGCACTGCTACTCTACTGTGTTCTTCCTTAATCTGAATTAATGTTTAATCTGAATGTCTTTGGTTCCTCGATGCAATAGGTTTAATGTCAATGTAATGGCATGTTTGCGTATATTCATCCTTTGATATTCGGTACCCACGTTATGCCTAAAATAATAAAAATTAAAGATATATTTTTACTTTTATCTTTCCATATTATTGCCAAAGTGAATGTGTAGTATAAACTTTAAATTTTCACATTTAACTCACTGACGACAGCGGATAGCAAAACACATTAATATATGTCAATTTATGACACTCAAAAAGTTGTTTTTATTTGAGGTTATATTAATATACTAGTACTCCATCAAATAAACACTCTTTCAGTGGATATACTCTGTCCC